GATGTGACTTCTCGTCACAGCAGTCACTGTGAACAGAACCTTCCACCACGCTTCATCCACCCCCGCTAGCCAGCCTCCCATGTGCTCAGGCCAGGGTACCAAACTATGTCTTCATCAGTTTTCTAGGGCACAAGGTCTCCCACCTAAGCCTGCATCAAGAGAGCCAGAAGCCTTGTTAAAATGCAGATTGCTGACCCCACCCACAGAGAGCTGGGGCAAGGCCTGAGAATCTGAATTTCTCAAGTATTCCCAGCTGCTGTGGCTACTGGTCTGAGGATTCCAGTTTGAGAACTGCTGCTCTAGATTGCTGCTCAAATCTCATTTCCAGCTCAATCCAGCATTGCCCAAGTTCCAACCCACAGCAGACCCCTGCCCAGGCTCAGCCCACCACCCTACCCTTGTCTGTGCTAGTACATACTTGGTATTTTTATATAAGTTGGCACACATTGGGGATTCAAATAAATTTATTTTAAAAAGGCAGATTTGGGCCTCCTTGGTGGCACAAGGGGTTAAGACGCAACCTATGAAGTTGTCCACAGCCTCTGCAGCTCAAGTTCGAACCCCAGCTGGCCAGGGAGCAACCCACATGGCGCAGCAGACCTCTCCTGACTTGCCCACTGCTCCCCTCAGCAGTGTACTTTGGTCAGTCCATCTGTTCTGTTCCCCACTCTGTCTCTGGTGAATCCTCTCACCCCCCACACCTCTGGCCTGTACCCCAGCTCTTGTATGCATAAATAAATAAATCTTTTAAAAAAGGCAGATTTCTATTGCCACTATGTGTAGGGAGGCTGATCGGGTCTGCCAGGAACAAACAGCATGAGCGAGGCTGAACATGAGGGAAGCAGCAAAGTCGTGTCTCCCAGGGGCCTCGTTGTAGGGACTCTCTCTCTGCTACAAAGGGAGACTGGGGAGTGAGGGAGAACAAGCTCTGTCCCCTGGGGGACTATCACAGATAGGCTCCTCACACTTTTGGGACACTGCTCATTCTGGAGTGACCTCTTCTCCAGTGCCCTGTTACTCTCCTGCACCCTGCAACCAGTAGCAGGAAACCCAAGCTCAGCATAGCTTAGCACCTCCGTAGGGCTGACCTGACACCCTTTAGTCTGACCAGAGTCCAGCCACACAGGACTTGTGGCTATTTTCCTAGGGTGCCAGGCCTTCCCCTACCTCTGGGCCTTGTATCCACAGGCTCCCTCAGCTTGGTGCCCCTCCCTATCTCCCCTCCCACCCACTCTAATCTTTCCCTGCCAGGCCAGTCCGCTCGCTGCTCTAGAAGGACTTCTAGGGCTTCCCTCCACACTCAGCAGAGGCCAGTGGGAGGCCAGCTCCCAATCCCTGGGACATCCGGGCCGGGTTTCCAACCCAAAAGAACGTGGGGCAGGTCAATTCCCGGGCGAAAGGGGAACTGGATGCTTTTCCTTCTGGGATACTGCCATTCTGTACTCACAATGGGATATGCTCCAGAAATTTGGGTTGAAAATGTGGGATTTTATAATTTATAATATTTTTTTAAGTCATAGTCCAAAAGTTGCATAATCCTCATCAGGACTTTCCTTTTCCCCCTGAATCTGTGGTTTTTGTCTAAGCTGACGCAGCACTGGAGACAATCAAAGAAATAAATCTCCCTCAGGCTGCACTGAGAGAAACTATATGTTCTCAGCCTTGAAAAGGGTGTGCCCACCAGGGCACAGCATGGGGTACAAATCAGGTCTCCCGAAGGGCAACATCTCTTCCAGCTGCTGCGGTGACCCAGGGTAGATTGTCAACATCTCTCCCAAACACCCCACACCTGGGTGTTCCTATGCCCAGGGCAGAGTGTCTTATCATATCTGGGATAAGCTGGCCTGTGCTAGTGCTTCTTCCAGAGGAAGTCAAGAAGCAGGGACCCAAGTGCCTCAATAAGCTCAACATCAGATGCCAGGTGACCCAGCAATTGCACTCCTAAGTGCAGGCCCCAAACAATTACAAACAGGTGTTGAGACAAAACTGTATCCATGAATATAGTAGTGCATAGCAGTACAACTCATAATAGCCAAAGGGAGGTACAGCTCAATGGAAGAATGGATAAACAGAATGGGATCTAGCCAGGCCATGGAATATTACTCAGTCATGAAAAAGAAATGAACACCGACACATGTTACCATATAGGTGGCCATTAATAATATCATGCTGAATGAGAGAAGCCAGACACGAAAGGTCATGCTGTATAATTCCATTCATATAAAGTGTCCAGAATAAGCAAATGCATGGAGACAGAGAGCAGATTAGTGGCTGCCAGAGGCTAGGGGGAGATGGAATGGGGAGTAACTGCTAATGGCCATGGGGGTCTTCTTTTGGGATGATGAAAATGTTCTGGAATTATAGAGTGGTGAGGGTTGCACAATATTTCCAATGTACTAAAAGCCACTGAGTGTATCTTTAAAATGGTTAAAATGGCAGATTAAATGTTTATGCATATTTCATCACAATAAAACAAAATGTTTTAAGAGGGAAAAAGAAAAAAGGCCTACCACCCACCATCCAGTCTTCCTGCTCCAGACAGAGTGTGCTCCATGAAGGTATTCCTGAGGAACCCTGGCTTCCTTCTCCCCTTGCACAAAGGACTGAGCATCTTTCAGCTCAATGAACTAAAGCTGAAGTGAAATGAAGCCTGGGTTGTGTTTTCCTTTCTTGACAAGCCATTAGCCCCTTGCACATCTGGGACTGATCAAAAACCAGTGAGTTTGCAAAAAAAAAAAAGGTCAGGAGCTAGCAGACACAGAGGCACCTCCCATACAAAGTAAATCACACTGGTGACAGAGAAAAGTAATGGTCCAGCTCCTGCAAAGCCAAAAAGGTACTCATTCTTGGGGGCCTGCCTTTAAAAGCCAGCTTTCTAATGCAACCTACAACATTCCAGCCACCCAGTGGGGTTCTCTGCAGGAGGGGCACCAAGGGAGGTTTTCAGAGGCCTCAGACCAGCTCTGCTCTCCAGCCTGGAGGCAGGACTGCAGGGGGCAGCACTCATCTGGGTTCCAGGGCAAGGATTTCTGAAAAGTGATATTGGGGACCTGTGGGTTGAGTGACAGAGCACCCCCTCTTTAGGTCCATCCCTAACTGAGACCAAGAACCCAGATGCCAGGAAGCACAAGATGCCTTGCTAGTGGCCAACCCTGCAGTGACCATCACGTGCCTAATCACTAGACCAGTACCTTCTTCCAGAATCTGTGGCAGGGCCCAGTCAGGGCAGCAGCTCTCCCCTGCCCTGGGGTTGTGATGCTGGGTACAGGCCTTAATCATTCTGAGATCTAAACCAATCTCCATTTTCCTCTTGTAAAAAGGAGGAAGGTCCAGCATCCATCTTATAAAGAAGTCAGTGAGGCCATCCAGGTATGATCCCGGGCTTATAATAAGTACCAGGCTAATGTCAGCGGCTGCTATGATGATAGATGTTATTTCCAGTGCTTCACTCTCACATCTTAACAGACACTAAAAGTCAAACCACTCTTTCTCCCCACATGCACCGCCAGGGACCTGGGCTTACTGCAGCTCTCCTGACAGCTGTTTTCTCTGGATTCAGGACCCAGCAGTTAAGAGGGCAGGGTCTGCAGACAGGTTGCAGGGATCACGGCATGGCACGCCAGCAAGGGGGCTTTGGGCGCACACTTCGCCTCTTTGAATCTCAGTTTTCTTATCTATGAAATAAATCAAGAGAACGCCTGCCCAGGTATACTGCAGGTATGCTCATGCAGGTAAAGTGCATGGCATGGGCTTTATGCCTGTCCCACTGGCAATACAGGTCCCACACCTTCTGCTCCTCCCCCCAGGTGGAAACAGCCAGATCAGAAGCAGAAGCAGAACCAGCACATCGGCTGCACACAGCACAGTGTGGGGACGTGACCTCTTGGTCTGTTTGGGTGAGAGCATGCCCCTTGTCTTGTTTTGTAGCACCCTGGCCCCTCACCTGTCAGACTTTAGCCCCCAGATGCCCTACCCCATGGGAGAAAGCTGGCTCCCCCACTCTGCCAGAGCAAGGAGCCCTAAAGCTGAAGGTGGAAACTCACTAACACACTCTGTTGCCAGGTGGGCTGGGCACAGGCTCAGGCTGCTGCTCTCAATCTGAACTGTAGCTCACCAGTGGCTAGCAGGCGCCAGTAAGCAGGACCAGCTAAGTCTTTCCTGGCTTGTCCACCAGCCCAGCTGATGGCCAGGGAGGCTCTGGGTCTATAACCTAGGAGGGCTGGCCCTGGCTCTGTTCACCCTGATCAGCAGATCTCCTAAAGACCTTGATGCCCAGCACAATTCCCTTGCACAAGAAGTTATTGCAGATACCCACCCTGACTGGAGAGACACGGGGTGACATTTCTGAACCTGCAGGAGCTCTGGACATGCCCCATACCTGGAAACACTCATCTGGAGCTTTGGAGGCAGAGAGAGCTGGTTCCAGCCCAGGCTCATCCTGGACAGCTCACCTCATCCCTGGGAACCTCCGATGTCTTCAACCAAAGTAGGAGAAGAGGAAGTCTACCTCACAGGTAGCCTCTGCAAAGGAAATGCTAAAGGGGTGTGTCCCTGTCAAGTGGAGGGCTGAAAGCACACGTTAGGTCTCCCCGGCCCTACACACATGGGTGGAACATATTCAAAGTCCTGCCACATCCATGCCATCGATTTCCCATTTAGTCCCACTGCAGACAAAAGAATGCCAACAGATGCTAGACAATCGCAAGGGAAGGCAAGAGGACCCTGGCTGCAGAACCAGAGGGTTCTGAGCCCTCATTACCTTCAGAGCTGTGAGGGTTTGGGCAAATGATTTGTCTTCCCTGGGTCTCCGTTTTTCCAATTGTGAGAGGGCCTGTGCCGAGCACGGGTCTGAGATACAGGTAGCACGCTCAGCAGAGAAGCCGCACACAGTAAGCCTGTCTGCACACTAAGAGGCAGCATCTACTCTGCTACTCCGGCTCCTGGGACACTGCAGGAATAAGATAGCCTCTTGCAGAGAGGAGAGGATCTGTCACACTTACCTCTGCAGCTCACCGGGGCTCTCCGGAGTCAAGAGGCGACCGCGGCGGCACACACCGAGGGCCGGTGGGTCGCGCAACTCCAGACACCCGAGCGGCCCAGGAACTGAGTGGGTCGGGGCCGCGCGGCACTACTTTATATACAAGGCCTGGAGCGCTGAGGCCACGCCCCAAGGCTGCAGGCGCCATCCCGCCCGGCCCCGCCCCGCCAGGCCCGGCTCTCCGGCCCCGCGGCGCGCGCCCCGGTGGCGAGAGTGCGCGAGGCGGTCCAGGGCGCCAGCTTTGTAAGAAGCGGTCTTGACAAAAAGACTGGTTCAATGACCGTAAAAGTATCGTTTTCGTTGAGCGCTTAGTATACACCAGGCGCGGCGCCAAGCACTTTCCACCATGGGCTTGTGAATTTGCCAGATCCCATCTCCCTGCAGCTCGGCTGGAATTGGAAATGGGGAGGCGACCGCGAATGCAGCACACGGAGCAGGAAAGGGCGTGGGATCCGCACGCTGTGGCACAGAATACTCACAAGCTAAGTCTATTTCACATCTATACGTGCGTGGAAAACGTCCACATCTATCCGCGCATGCACACGCGCGCGCGCGCGCACACACACACACACACACACACACACACACACACTGCCCTCTCCACGTGCAGATGGAGAACGGACGACCAGGAGGAGGCACTACCGGAGGAGGCCAGTAAAAGCCCAGTGCAGCCTAATCACTTTGCTTCACTATCCCAGATTGTGTTCACAGGACTCCAGTAAGGTGGAAAGGATCCCATTTCACAGATGGGGTGACTGAGGCTTGGGGAAGTGAGCACCCTAACTCCCAGAGCTAGTGAGGCGCATCTCAGGCTCAAACCCTGATCTTCCTACATTTTGTCCACAGGTATTTGGAAGGCTTAGCCTAACCTGTAAATACCTCCCTTTAAAGTCAGAAGACATTGTTTTTGAAACATGTAAATAAATCCAAGTCCCTAGTTGGCAGGTGAAGAAACCTTGCTGGCTGGAGAAAGCCAAAGGATCCCATACTCCCCACTCAGGCACAAGTGTGGACCTACTGTGTGTTGGGCAGGAGGGAGCCTCTCCTCACACTGCTTATCCCTGCAGGCAGACGGGGATTTACAGCATCCACACAGTCCCACAGAGTCACTCCGCACTGTTTGTGCTATGCAGTGAGCGGGACACACAGGACCCCTCTGGGATCTGAGAGTCTGGGGCATCCAGAGGGGTCTGAGTATGTGGGGGAACAAAGATGGCAAGTGAGCAGGGTGGGTGAGGGAAGAAGACCCCTTGTTGACTGGAGGGGCACCCGAGACAGATTCAGAGTTGGAAATCTATGCCCAAGATTTGGGTGCAGCTCAAATACAGATAAAGAATAATGCAGACATCCTGTTATCTTTTTTTCATTTCTGTTATTGTTCTCTGTTTTTGAAGTATCATTCTCAGCTCAACATTCATTCATCCAGTGCTGATTAAACCTCTGTTCCAAGCACTGTGGCATTCAGCAGTGAATAATACAGACTGTTCCAGAACAACTGTCCTTGATTTGACAAAGGGTGAAAAAAGAAGAGACTTGAATTATAAAAAGCTGCCTCTCAGGTGCTTGGCCCCATATACATCCTCCTATCCAGTTGCCCTCATCCCCCACCACCCTCTCAGGCTGGTGTTTTATCATGGGAAAACTGGGCAGAGAGGATAAGCATCTTTCCTGTGGCCACACAGCTCCCAAGTGGAAGAACTGGGATTTGAACTTATACCCTTGCCTACTCAGCTGCTATGCCCTGTGTGTCATTAAACCTTGGGTGCAGGAAAGTGGAATAAACTTGTCCCCAACAGAGGGGACGGGAAGGTGCACAGGATCCAGTTTCTCGTGGGCCGGGCATTTGGGTGGGAGTGCCCACCGCTCTGCAGCCTCGGACCTCCATCTCCTTACTGCTAACTTTTTATGGCAACTCTGCAGTTACTTGCTGGTGCTCAATGGCTCTGGAGGCCCCAAGGATACTGTGGGCAGAGCTGAACCTGGGGCACCTCTCTACAATGTCATCCTCTGGCCAAGATGCCCACTCCCATAGGTCTGACAGCCACGGCACCAGGTCCTTGCACACCACAGAGACTGCTAGGTGCTTACTTCCTCCTCTCCCTCAGTTTCTCCTTTCCTTTCCCTCTATAGTCTCCTCCTCATCCACCCTGGCTTCTCATCTGCCTGGCCTCTGACTGTGCCCCTGCCCTAACTTCTAGTAACATTTACCGGTGTGGGGCACTGGGCACAGGGTTTCACCAGCATCAATGTATGAAAAGAGCACAACCTGGTGAGGGGAGGGGCTATAGCCGACCGACCTTCTTTTATAGAAGGGGGAACCGAGGTGTGGGACCAGGTGAGCTGGGTTCAAATCCTACTCCTCTACTTACAGCTTGCTGGGATCACTTGGCTGTTGGGGGGTGAATGTGCGCTGGGCCTCTAACTCAGGCAGTCCACGACCAGAGTCCACTAAGCCAGGTGGCCTGAGGGCATTTGGGGATTAGGATTTACTGTAATGGGCATTTCTGAACTAGTCCACTGTCTTTAATATCCTGGTCAGGTTATTTCTCAAATGAGATGTTATGGTTACTACAGCTGTGAAACAGTTTATCCCAAAACATAGTGGCTTAAAAGAACCATTTTATTTTGCTTCTAATTTGCAGGTCAGGATTCTCAGGAAGGTTCTTCCTGAGAGGATGCCTGCGTAGCTGCAGAGAGATGTGGATTGGGGCTGCAGACATCTAGCGGGGACCAGACATCCATGCAGTTTCCCCATGTTGTGGGAGCTGAGTCAAGGCTATTGCCTGATGCACCCCCAACACAGCCTTTCCAGGACGGCAGTCTCAGCAGTGAGCCTTCTCCCCCAGAGCAGCCTCACACAAGAACCAGGTGGAAGGTCTTAGCATGACCTCTGTGGACCTGGCATCAGAAATCACAGTGTCTCTTGGGCCACACTCTTGGCTGAATCATTGAGTCTGCCTGGCGTCAAGAAGGGACATGATCACACTTCTCAATGGGAGGGGGAGGTCAAGGAATTTGCAGACAAGTTGTAAAACAAAGTATGTGAAAACACACAGCACAGTGCCTGGAACCGAGAGAATCTCAGTAAAAGCAATCAATCCTTCTTAGGGAGCTAAGCTTGGAATGTGCACCACCTCTGCCTCGAGATAGCTGAGCTTGAACCTGACTCCACCGCAGGAACCAGCTGTATGTCCTTGCGCAAGTCACCCTACCGCTCTGAGCTACAATCACCTCCCAGGCTGGATCACCCAGGATCAGACTGATCCTGGTTGGTGCTGAGACCAGTTGAGCTGTGTTCAAATCGCACTCCTCCATGTGGCCTTGTTTCCAGTTCCCTCCTATAAAACAGAGGGCGTGGGGGAGGATGGATAATGGCATCTTTCTCCCTCTGGGCGACTATGAGCCTCAAATGGTTAATATATGGAAAACAATTAGAGCAGGGCCTGGCACAAGCAAGTATTAGTTAATATTACTAATATTGGGGCCAACAAAGCAGAGAGAGAAGCTTACTTTTTTGATCAACTTTCCATCATTGTGCAATTATAGAATCTAATTTCCAAAAATTAGCATTTGCATTTGAATAAAATATGTCATGGGCAACATGGGCTCCTGGGGGTGCTGGCTGGGAAAAGGCCGAGACGCACAGGAGAAAGGGACAGGCCAGGGGGATCCATGGGGATCCCGGCAAAGGCTGTTTGCTACCCAGGCAGGGAGTTAAGTCATGGAGAGTCTGAGTCGGAGGGAAAGTGCTTCTGGGTATAATGAAGTCCGACCTGGAAAAAGGATCTCGCAGCCCTGGTTGGGACATCCCTAGAGGCACCAGCCCTCTGCCCACTCGCTGGGAACGCTGTGGCTGACGGGAGGACCACACACGTGTCTGCAGGATGGAGGACAGGGCCAGACGTCAGGAATGTGTCACCAGTGATGCAAAAGTCCCGGACTTTCTTTCCTGTCTCCACAGGTTGCCGAAAGCGGGTGAGTTCTGGAGCACACTGCGCGGCCTCACCAGTTGTTTTCACTGGAGTCCCCCAGAACTGGGCAGCAGAGCTGCAACCAGGCAGCTCACCCGCTTCAGGAGCTGCCACGTGTCACTGAGCCTCACATTAGCATCAAAGATCACCGCCAATTGGAGTCAAGGAGACATAGGAGTGCCATTTTGTGGCAGGCATGGCTGCCTACCCCTAAGGAAGAGGAAAGAAGGTGGCACCACTGGGTTGACAAGTGCCCACCAGAAGTCCTCCAGGAGCTCAGTGGGGTGAGTTCGCTTGACTTGTTGGAGAGGAAGGGACAAGGGTGAGGACCACACCTTATGTTGGCTGGCAATTCTTAGTGGGGGGGCTGTGGAGGGACTGCTGGTGAGGACACCTGGGCCTGAGCAGCTGTGAGTGACAGAAGCCTGCTCCAGATAGCTCCAGCTAAGCAGGGTGCTGCCTGATGGGACACTGGGCTGTGGTGGAACCCAAGGACATGAGACCCTGAAGAGTGCCGGGCACCGGGCAGGACTTTGCCTGTGTCTCCTCCTCTCTGTGTGGGCTGTGCTTGTGCCAGTCTCATGTGTACCTCCCTAGATGCCCACTCCTGATGCAACAAAGCAGAGCCCAGAGGACCCTGCCAGGTACCACCAACATGAAGCAGGGCCTATGAACTGGGTAGACAACCCTCAGGCCAGATTGAGGGGGATGACCCGCAGTCAAGAGTTTGTGGACACAGCCAGAGGGAGGCCCAGGATTCCTGGGCAACAGCATTTGGTACAAACTCTAGGTATAGGCTCATGTTCCTCAAATATCCAGCACATGCCAGCCTGATTTCCCACAGTTCCACCTGTATCTGTCAGAACCTACTCAGCCCATCAGCAAGGTGGCCCAAAGTGCCTGGGTTTTAATACTCCCCAGCACGCTGGCTAGAGCTGGGGTATTTATACCCCAGCTCTCTTGCTGTGAGCTGGGATGGTTCAGAGGTGGTGTTTCTGGAGGGATCTGTGTGGCTGCTGTGCATACTTTGTCAGGTTCCTTCCTTACCCAGATTACAAACCCATATTTTTCCTGTATTTGTTCCACTTCTCAAATACCTGCCCTCAAGTCCT